CAAAGAAGCCAAAGTCACACATAGTGACTCATACATCTGTTCTGATGTTCCCTCAAAAACTTGCCACAACCAGCAACAAACTAAAAAAAATACAACATGAAAGTAGAATGTTATTTCTAGCATTTAGCAGAAAATGTATATCAGGAAATGACACCACCCAGCAATGTGTCGCCTGTAAACACAGTAGGGTCCTCTTCTTTTTTCCAAGTTACATAGTAACTTATGTCAGACGAATTGGAAACGTTAAATATTTATGACCAAATCCATAACAATACAAAAACAACACCTTTTGTGATATGATCTTCAATGGCGTTCTTCAGTGATAAAGCTTCCCTCCAATCTAGTGCAATCTACAATACAAAACCACATCACTTAATCACTCATAAAATCCATGTCAAAAACAACAAACACAACAAATAATGTAAATCAGACAGTCAATGATTCCCATTAAATAACTTTACTTAATGTGTTAGTAATATTATCATGGTTGTTTCGGAACCTTAGAATTTTGCTAAGTTGTAATTACTTGTTATATTTAATACTTTTTTAATTACATACTTCATAAATATATAATTATTCATATCAAATATTTAAAAATCTATATCATTATTATATCAGATAATTTTTGTTTGGATATTTCGTTAATTTGTAATCTTTTTGTGAGCTAGACTTCACATTCACACCGGTTATCAAACAAATAACTCATTTTTCATTCGCATTAGTTCCAAACAAAAGGGTAAAATAGTCAGTGACGGTTCATTCAGCTCAAATAAGAAACACCATTTACAGATAACACTCAATAAAGAAAAAAGAGAAACAGACCTCAGAGTTTCCTTAATCATATGATTATTATTGGTCCATATTCCCATCAAGCACTTAATCATATGATTACTCTCAAACAGAGAAGAGAGTGTCAACTTGGCGCATTTTTGTTTTTGTTCCCTGTGGGGTGAGTTGCAAGGAGAAGGATTTGAAGATAGTTAGTTTTCTTTTTTTATGCAAGTGACATACTTTTGGAAGCTTTCTTAGCTATTTTTTATAAAAAAAAAGTAAATAAAAATGTGAAATGAGAAGACTTTTACCAAAAATGCGTTTTTATCCACATCTTATGATAGCCATTCAATACATCAACTTGGTCGGATGTTAGTAATCTGTCTCTAAAAAAAGAGAACATTGGAATCACTGATTCTTAAGGTAATTGGCAAGAAGTAAAGAGTATTAGAGTAATAGTATGTACCTCAATTCCGGAAGGAGAATCCATCCGATCACTGTTCCGTCTACATATGAGATTCTAGCTATGCGGTTACTTTGTTAAAAAAGATGTTACATTTTTTTATAAAAAAAAATAATATAGAATAACAAAATATACTTGTCAAATGTTTGCATGACGAAATAAAAAAAAATAAAAAAATTTGTAAATAATTTAAAAAATATTATACAAACCTTTCATTGTCTGTGGGTTGATGGTTGCTATGAATCATGTTGGAATTGGATCCTACAGATCAATTATGCTTGAAGTTAAATGGTACTACATGAGTACATGGTGTTAATCGAGATGCAACATGATGGGTATTGTGTGAGTAATTCAAAAATCTGATTTAAGCATTTTATCAAACAGTTGGTATGCAACATTAAACTTACTTTGAAATCTCAAAACCAACTGGGTGCGTATAACCGAATTGTATTCCTGGGATACGATGAGTCATCCTCCTCACATAACTTGAAAATAGAAAGTAAAAATAATTTGAATTTCAAGTTATGGCGAAATTGGTAAGCAATTGTAGATATTTCTGCAAAAAAGGGTAATCTTTTTCTTCCTGACAAAGAACATTTGATAGGTTTTGGTTTCATAAGTGGTTGCCTAAAAGAAATTACAGGTTCGGGTTTATAAATCAGAATTGCATCAGACCTTATTCAGAATTGTATCGGACCTTCAAATAACAATAAAAATGTAAGAACTAAGCACCAGTTTGAAAGATAATCACCTTATTCGAAATCCTCACAGGGTCGATTTTAAGAACTAAATAGGGTAATTATGAAGCCGATGATGGTGGTGAGAAGTTAGGTGCGTAAGTCTTTCCGCCGATTTCTCACACATGCTCGCAGATTGTTGGAACATAAGGCGTTGTCAATATGAAAACTCTCAAGAGTGAAGCTGCAGAGTAGAACACCGCCGCTGCACCCTCCGGCGATTAGCACCGCCGCTGTTGAGCGCCACCAGTTGTGCAGTTAGCGTTGGGGTTCTATGATTGACGAACGGAGAGCTTGAATTGAACACTATGGAAATACCCAGAAACAAATGCGGTGGAGAAAGTCGGTGATTCTGAAGGGTTTTAGCCCAAGCTGAACACCTAAAGCCGGCTTTATGAGAAAAAAAGGGTTAGCATAGATGGTCGGTGGTTAAGCGGTGGTAGCGACCATCGAAGCAGCAAAGAGATGCAAAGGAAGTTTCCAGTCGCTGGAGAGATGAGGTGGTGGATGAAGATCTATCTAGATGAAAACGTAAAAGCCGATGGAGATCCAGGATGAAGCAGTGATTCTTGGAAGAAGTGACGTCGGGGTGGGGCGATCGTCTGCCTCGTCTCCGCCGGTGGGACGTCAACCCCGGATTGTTGATGATCGGTTGGGTACGAAAGAGAGTCGATTTGGGCGACCCGTGGTGGAAGGTAGATCGATTTATGGATGGAACTGAAAAAAAAAGCTTGATCGTCTGAAAATTGAGTAAATGAACAGTAGATGAGGCAGTGGAGGAATAAGAAGAAAGTAGAGACCTTTGAGGCGGTGGATTGTCAAAGGTGTCGGTGGGAAAAGGTGATATGGCAAAGGAGAATAAAAAGGAAAACGAACACGTAGATAGCAGCTTCAGAAGTGAAGACACGTGTAATCCACTATCCACTATATTATTGAAGAATTAAAATTAAATTCACAAACGACACAAAACAGAAATAAAAGAAAAAACAACCAATGACATCAAAGAACTGTTTCAAAAGGGACTTCAAAATTAATCTATATATATATATATATATATATATATATATATATATATATATATAATTACTCATTTTTTTAAAAATGCATAGTAATAAGTTATGAAAAAATCTTTGATTTGAGATGCTCTTAATTCAATATTGATGTATGTTTTTCAATGTAATTTATATTCGTATCAAACAGAGAGTATTATTTTTATTAGACTTTCAAAGTATTGTTTTTGTTGTATAGTCTTTTTTTCTAGTTCCTTTACATTGAATTATTCTAGATGATTATTTTTGGTTTTTTTAATAAAACCTATTGTTGTTTAAAAAATTGATGGTGCAACAAGTGATTGGTCTAGTACAACATAACGCGCAATACACACGTCATGCCTCACATTGCCAATATGAATGTTTTCGGGACAGCGTAGTCACGCCTTACCGTTTTGAAACACATTTCATAACTTTGATGAATACCAATTAAAAATATAAGATTAGATTTTACAAATCGGACTTTGAAGCAGTTGTATATATGCATATACACATTGAGCTATTCATAGAATGAATATTCAAAAAAAGAAAAAAAATAATATAATAATAATGTTTTCTTTAGCAAATCATCTAGACAATTTGTATATATGATTTTTATGGTGTCTTTTTAATAATATTATAAGGAGAAAGTTTTTATTATATTCAATGTATATGTAATGCAAATTGAGCTATGCATACTATGAATACAGAAAAAAACGTTAATCATCTAGTCATTTTGTGTGGATGGTTTTTGTGGTGTTTTTTAAATATCGGGGGAGTTCTTATTATATTCATGATATTCTTGAAAAATAACGTCTTTTTATCTTCTGGAAAAACCATTAATAATTATTTTATTTTTAAAAAGTTATCGGAAAGTTGTTTTATTTTCGATAAAATTGTTGAAAATTATTTTTGTGTAAGAAAAAAAATCTGCAACAAATTGAAGATTTTTACCTGCTAAAATCTCAAATATGTCATGATTCTTCATTTTTTGTCATTTTTTGGTGAAAATAAAAGTAATTTTTTTTTATAAATATCACCGAAGTTTATAGATTTTCCTAAAAAATTTCTAACATAATAAATATATAAAATAGGTTTAACTATATATTTATGACATATAACTTTTTATAGAAAATAAACTTTATTTTATACATCTAGTTTAAGACTTTATTTTATATATATATTTATTATATTTTAATTTATGTGAAATTATTTATTTAAAATATATAGTGAAACTTTATGTATAACTTTTAAAATTTTGTAGTTAAAGTAATCTAACGGTTATGCTAGACGAAGTGGAGCTCAGTGCAACTCCATAGTTCTAATGTGGACTCGGCAAACACTGGGCCGTGAGCTCGGCATGCCGAGCTCGAAGCCCAAACTCGGCAATGGCATGTCGAGTCTCTTTCTTCTTCAGCCATTCTTACCCCTTCTTTCTCCCCCACTCGGCAACCCATACCTTCATCTCTTCTTTCTTCCTTTTTCCCGCCTTTCTTCTCGTTGTTGGAGTTGAGGTGGAACTCGGTGATCTCTATACCACTCCCCTCAGTCTTATAGGTAATTAATTAGAGAGAGAATAAAATAAAGAAAATACCAAACACCTTCATGTGTATTACACATGTGAGGGTCTTTCTGCTAAATCATTGTTCGTTGGCAGGGGCCTATTCTAAAATAGAAATTAAACTTTGGCACTTCCGTGGGAAACTATCAAAAGTTAGATCAATCTTGCAGTTCTGAGTAAACCTTAGGGACCATTGTTGTAATTTATTCTAAAATGTATTTTTGATAGGGCATGTACAAAATTTACCGATATATGTCGGTCAAACCGTAAGAAATAAAAAGTTAAAGGGTTTAATTTGTAATATGTTGATGACATTGTGAGACCCATTTCTTCAATCTATTCAATTATCATAAACAAATCTCAAACAACCCTATTTTCATGGGAGTTTTTCTAAAAGCCATTCTATTTTTTCTTTAAAAAAATCCAGTTTTTTCTTACAGAAAGCGGTGGTTTGGTGGACATATGATCCACCAGAAAGGGATGCAAGGTTGGTGAAGAATGTGTTGAGTTCAAAGGAAATTGGCACGAATGAACTACAAGTGATAGTCGAAATCTCTTGTGCATCATCTCCTCACCGTCTTCTTGCTGTCAGAAAGTGTTATTGTTCCCTCTATCAATGTTCACTCGAAGAAGACATAATTGCTTATGCCCCACCATTTGTTATAAAGGTATTTAATTGTTTTCATTTTCGATCTTAAAAAAATCCTCAGTTTTAACAAACATTTATCATTAGTGCAGATTCTAGTTGCCTTGGTGAGTTCTTTCAGGTATGATGGGGAAGTGGTCGATTTAAATTTGGCAAATGAAGAAGCATCCAAGTTACAAGAAGCTGTTGCATTGAAACGATTCGATCAAGATCATGTTGTATGGATACTTAGCACAAGAAATGTGTTCCAGCTCAAAGCAACTTTCGAAGCCTACTATCAAAAATTCGGAAATCATCTTTATGAGGTTTAGTATCTTAACCTCTTGACAACCATTTGTCATGCGTAACTTCTTAATCTATGCTGATGCTTTTTCCATTGACTATTATAATGATCATTGTGTTCGGTGTTCCTTACAACATACATATAAACATTTTAATTTTCAAAATATAACTAGTAAGTAATTAATGACTCAGTTGATAGTATTCTAAGTGAAAGAGTGGATCTTTTATAAGTTTTACATTGAAGTTGATTCTTTTGACAGGATATCAAGGATTTTGGAAATGATTTGTTGGAATCTTTGGTAAAAGATGTGATTGCATGCATTGCTTCCCCTGAGAAACATTTTGTTGAGGTGATTCAATTGCCTCAGAGGCTAGAAAAATCTGTTAAAAGTCGCTTTAATCTTAGTCTTTTTACAACCATCATGACCTACAAGCTTTGCATCTGGTTTGATGATTAGCAGGTCATCAAAGTTGCAACTGACGGCTGGGGTACAGATGAAGATTCGCTATCAAGAGTCATTGTAAGTCGAGCTGAAGTAGATCTGATGAAAGTGAGAGAAGCATATATGGATATATACAAAACAAGCCTTGACCAGCTGATTAAAGACGAGACTTCCGGAGATTATGGGGCTTTTTTGATGGCATTGTTGGGAAATTAACTCGAATTCTTATGTACATGTACAAAATATTTGTGCTTGGAGAATAACTTGATGTGTGTGTTCGTTTGAATTATTGTGTGAGCATTCTAGTCTTGGAAGAAAGTTGGGAATTATGTGTTGCATCTGGGTGATGTTTATAATAATATTGTACCTCTACAATTTAATGCAAATTACATAAATCGTTTGTGGTTCACTGGTTTGGGGTAAATCGTAAATTCTCTATTTTTTTCCACTAATATGGTATTTTTTTTCATGATTTTTGTCTTTTACCAAATAAAATATAATGACTATTTTGTCCTTACTAAATACTTTTTGTATTTTTATTCTTTAAATGATTATTTACATTATTTAGAGGGTGTTTGAGATTTCATTTTGATCTTTAAAATGACTTTTAGACAAAATGACTTAATGATTTATGGTGGTAGGGAAAGAAGCTTTAAAAAAAAATTCGATTGGATTTTGTGGTGGGAAAAAGTCAGTAAGTCAATAAATTGTTTTTTAAAAAAAGTGTTTGTGTTTGTTTAAAGGTAATATTGATTTTTACAATTCATAAAGTCATAAGGAGTTTTGAAAAGTTACAAATTCTGGGGGTGTTTGGCTTAGCTTTTGAGAGGCCAAAAGTTCTTTTAGGAAAATATAAAAGGTAAAAGATGTTTGGCAAAAACACTTTAAAAAGCTAATTTTGGATTTTGGATATAAGGAAAATGAACTTCAGAAAAACCTGACTTTTTGCAACTTTTCCAAAAATGACTTTTGGCCTCTAAAAAGCTAAGGAGAAGTTGTTTTAAAAGTCATTTTCTTTTTGCCAAACACTTTTTTTGACTTATTGACTTTTCAAAAAACCAATAAGTTAATAAGTTATTTTGAGATGAACTCCCAAACACCCTCTTAAACATTTGGTTTTTATTTCGTCTACTCATCAATACCCTGTGCAAAGATCTCACCTCTCATCCACACATCAAAATAACCCGCTCTCATCTCCAACCTTGAAGATAAAGAATGACGATGATTTATTCTAGATCTTGGGCTTTTAAGTTCTTACGATTAATATAGGTGTTTCTGTTTCAAATTTAATATTTTTGTATTCCAAATGTATTTCAAATTAATAGTTGAAAATTAGTCTCCTTTGTGTTGAATTTGGTGAATATTTATGATTTGAAGTCAACTCTACTTTGTTTCTTGCATTGTTTACAAGAATTCCTTGACTCTTTTAGTAATCGATGCGTTATCACTACTGGAAAAAAAAGAGGAAATACCTACGGAATATCACCAATGGAAACATTTCGATGGAAAACACCGATGGAATGCCGACAGATCAACAACAAAAAGCAGAAAGTGACGCCCAAATTTAGTGTCGACATCTTGATGGAATAACAACGGACTCAAACATTGTCGTAAATTTGTCGGTAAATACCAACGGACCACAATAAAAGATTATTTTTTTACTTGTCACAAATCCAATGCTATTAGTTAAAACTTGAAAAATATCTCGAGGTTCAAACCCAAGTCAGTACTGTAACACCATGTTTATTAAATAAATAAGTAGATAAATTTTATGAAAGAGTAGTAGCCCTAAAATCCATATTATTCAGTGAGATGTTGATTTTGGGAGCTAAATGTTATAATTTTAGAAGTTGGGGGTTAAAAGTGTAAGTTCCAGGTTGGCTTTGTAAATATTTATGAAGCCAGAGGTGTAATTGGAAAATATTGTACCTAAATTGCAATGGATTTTAATGTTGAGGGCTGTTTAGTAATTTATGGGTTGAATTTGAAAAGGATTTCAGGAATCAGGGTATATTTGGTAAAATATGGACTTATTATAAAAAATTTCTGAGGGCAGGGTCTATTTGGTAAGTTTTGGACTAATGTTGAAGAAAATCTGGATTTGAGGGGCTAATAGTGTCAACATGGGAGGAGGCTTCCATGAGGACGGGGTATATATGGATCATCTGTAACCCTAACCCTAGAAAGTATCATCAGCCGCCTCCATCCACCCTTTGGACTTCCGGCGCCGCACCACCTCCGTTGAGGTCGTCATCCGCCGCTACCCTTGCTACCGTCGAAGACGGGAGTTACAGACCCGACGTCGTAGTCGGGGAGGATCGAGTGTTCAATACTTCGGGTGTTGTGTTTGCCGACCATCCTTCCGGAGTCCTCCCAACCACCACCTCCTAGCCTCGCCGGAAATCGTTGAACGCCGCCACACCCTTTGACCGGTCGAGTTGCTGCATCCTTCTCCGTCAACAACGCAATCTCCGCTTCACCTTTCCTCTTCTCCTTCTTCTGCCTTCTGCCGCCTTCTATAAATGCCTCACGACGGTCTTCGGTGTTTCCCCGACCACCGTAGCTTTACCCCGACGTTGTACTACTCCTCGACGTCGAGTCGCTGCCGTTCTCGTTGAAGACCAACCCATCACCGAACGTTATTCTGCTGCGGCTGGCGTTCTTCCCCGGTCATTGGTGTCGCCGCTATGGACGCTTGCATCGCTGCTGCCGCCTTCGGGGGTCTCACCCATTTTCCGTTCGACTGCCTCGCACCGCCACGGGAGGGTGGCTGGGTCCGGTTTGCAAGATTATAGCGTGGGTGTGTGTATTTCTGTTGAGTTTGAGTTATGTGTTTTGCTTGGTCGGAAAACGAGAACAACCACTGCCACCACCGTGAGGTGGTGGCTGTCATCGAGAACCGCCATTCGCCGCCGCCGGCCGCCACTAGGTTTCTATGTACATGTGTTTGTATTAGTGTGTGGGTGTGTGTGATTATTTGGGGTTTAAGCATTGTACCATGTAACTAAAAGAAGAATAATGAAAAGAAATTGAAAACCACCACCTTAGGGTGGTGGCTGTCACCACCGTCCGCTGTGTCGGGTGGCGGTGTGCCTTGCCTCATTGTGTTGACTCGTTTGGGGTGCTTGAAACCCTAATGGGCCCAAAGAAGCCCTAATGGGCCCAATGAAGCTTAATGGGCTTAGTGAAAACCTTAATGGGGTTAATAATATTCTAGTGGGCCTAATAGGCCCAATAAAGCTTTAATGGACCTAAAAGCCCAAACAGATGATTAATGGGCCTAGTGAAACCTTAATGAGTCTAGTTAACCTTAATTGATCAAAAGACATATCAATTGGGCCTAATGGGCTAAGATGGGGTTGGAAACCCTAATTAGGGTTTAGAAAACCCTAATATTGGATTTATGGGCTTGGATTTATTGGGACCCACTTGTGGGCCATTGGAATAATGGAATTGTGTGATTAAGCCCAATCACACCATATGACTTATTTAGAAGAATCATGGACTTAATGGATTAAGTCCTTAATGGGTTAAGTGAGAAACACTTAACCCTAATCGTCATTTTATGTGAAACCCTAATTCCACATGGGTGTATAGTTGGGCCTTCTATTGGGCCTTGATGATTGTGTTATTAATGGGCCTAGTGTAAGGCCCATGTAAGGGGTTTGGGCCCAATTTAGAAAATTGGGCCATAGATGGGCATAGGTTTGGGCCTTAATGATTATATGATGTTGGGCCTTAGAATGAGACCATGTATAGGCCTAGGCCCAATTTGGAAAATTGGGCCATGTGTTGGGCTTTGATTCCTAATTGACTTTGGGCCTATGGATTGGGCCTTAGGCTTGAATAAGCCAAGCTAGGGGTAATGTGGTAATTACCCAAAGAATGTACTTATGGTTATGTAGTGAGACCCAATTATTAATTGGGTGTTATTTTGGTGTTGACAGTTCGGGAATCTGTCATCCAGAAGTTGTGGTTGAGTCTGCGGGACTTCAGCAGAGTGGAATTGTGTCTACGGGACTTCAGCAGTGTGAGGTGAGTTACTTTCCAGTAGCGGTGGGTCTACGGCCACAATGTCGGCCCACCAGTAGGAGTTGTATGTTAGATGATTGTCTTTGTGATATTCATCTAGGTTTGCTACTACCTGATATGTTATATGCTAGCATGATATGTTATATGTGATAGTGGTAGTAGGGGGAAAATAGTCCCCAAGTTTGGTTGTTAGGACCGAAGGGTAGGCCGGACACCCCAGATGTGTCTGACAGTATGTTATGATATGTTTATATGTTGGCATGATATGTTATATGTGAAAGTGGTAGTAGGAGGGGAATAGTCCCCAAGTTTGGTTGTTAGGACCGAAGGGTAGGTCGGACACCCCAGATATGTCTGATAATATGTTTATGTTATGATATATGTGATAGTAGCGGTAGGGGGTGGAATAGTCCCCGAGGTTCGGTTGTTAGGACCGATGGGTAGGTCAGCACCCCAGAACGGCTTGACATGGGTAGGTCAGCACCCCAGAATGGCTCGACACGGGCAGGTCAGCACCCCAGAATGGCTCGACATGGGTTTGTCAGCACCCCAGAATGGCTTGACATGGGTAGATCGGCACCCCAGAATGGTCGGACCGGGTAGGTCGGGCACCCCAGAATTGTCTGGCAGTATGTATGCTATGTGATTGTATGGTATGTGGTATGATGGTGGAACTCTCTAAGCTTCGTGCTTACGGTTTACAGTTTTGGTTTCAGGTACTCGTTTTCAAAGGAAAGGAACCGGCTTGATCGCAGCGCATCACACTATGTTTTCCGCACATGAGATCTTTGGGATTACACTCTGATATGGTTTTATGATAATATGTTTTGATTACTGACATTTTGGTTTGACACGAGATGTTATTATGAATGTTTTTATATTGATGGTTTTATGTAATAACTTATTTAAAAATAAAATTTTTGGCCTTGAAATTTGGGATATTACAAGTTGGTATCAGAGCCTTGGTTTGAGGGATTCGGACATACTCCCGGGTGTGTCTGAACTCAAACTAAGGGCTTGGTATGAAAATTTTAAAAAGTAAAACCATTTTATAAAAAGGAGTTTGAAAAGAATCTGAAAAGAGAAAAGAACTTTGAGAAGAACAAAGTGTGTGATGCGTGCAATCAGCCGAGCTCAAGTAGTTTTCCCCAAGATACCCATACATGTTATGTTATGGTATGATATAATTATGATTATGAGAATTGCATGCTAGATTAGGGCTAAGGATCTAGGAGGATGCCTTATATGCCTATTGTATGTGTTTGTAGACTTGCATGCTAGTACTGACCAGTCAGTAATAGGATAGCCTGTTTAGGTTATGCCTGATTGTATGAGCCTTTGAAGTGCATGTA